CGCAGTATTCTAAACATGAGCTCAGCAATGAGGTTTTAGACTTGCTCGCCGAGCCGGTATGTCTTTATTGCAGACGTTTCGTCACCCTGCTAGGTAACATTGTCGGTGCACCTCGGGTGAAGTGTTGGTCTTCTGTCCCGCTTGTTATTTATATACCTCAGTTTGCTGGGGTATTGGCATCACTTCTGTTTCTGTTTTTCAATGGTGTGCATATCAGGTCCAGTTCAATATGTTTGTTGATGGAGTTTCGGTTGGAATGCCAGGCCTCCAAGAATTCCCTGGCATGTCTTTGTTTGGCTTGTGCTATTATGGATGCGTTGGCCAGTTGAATTTGTGTTCTTCTTTGTCCATGTGCATTGAGACCAGTAAGAATTGGACACGTCTCTTGGTGGCTAATTGGTTTTCATGTTTTCTTCCAGTTTGGCCTATGTAATGTTTCTCACAGTCCTTGCATTGTATTTTGTACTTTGCATTGTCATGTCGTGGTCTGTTGTGGAGGCAACGGCGGATTGTGCTTTTTGGGTATCCATTCCTTTTAAAGACTCCACATAAGGGCTCCTGTTCTGCTTTGTGCAATTCCTAGTTGCTGTAATGTGTTGTGGCCTGTTTGAATAATGTCCTGATGCAGCTCCGTTTATGGGTGTTGGGGTGGTTGCTGGTGTAATTAAGTATCTGGTCCGTATGTGTGGTCTTTCTGTATACACTAGTCTGGAGTTCCCTGTTGTTCTTGCATTCTACCATTATTAAAGTTTTGGCAAAGTGGGTGAGGTTGTTGATTTTTTCATCGAGCTGGCTTGTTCTCGTTCAGACATTTCATCACCATGCTAGTTGACATCATTAGTGGAGCCTCCAATGAAGTGAGGCTACTCCCGCTTGGTCTTATACTGTCTGGTCCATTGTGGTGAATAGTGTCATTTCCAGTTTTGATCTGTATGGGTTTGTATATGGGGTCCAATTCTATATGTTTGTTGATTGCATTATGGGCGGAGAACGGGTGTTTAACTGGGACAAGGTAACCATAGTAGCCCAAACCAAACATAGATACGCACGGGAAATCCTAGAGGCATGGTTCTCCACCCGTAATGCAATCAACAAACATATTGAATTGGACCCCATATACAAACCCATACAGATCAAAACCGGAAATGACACTACTCACCATACCGGACCATTACATAGTATAAATTCCAAGCGGAGTAGAATAACATCGCTTCATCAGAGGCTCCACTGATAATGTCACCTCGCATGGTGACAAAACGTCTGAACGAGAACAAGCCAGCTTGGCGAACAAGTCAACAACCTCATTCTACCATTATGTCTAGGAAGGGTAGTCGGTCATTGTTCTCCTCTTCTTTTGTGAATTTTATTTCAGTGAGAATGTTGTTCATGTGTCGTTGGGTTTCTTCTTCTGTGCGTTTGATAATCACGAAGGTGTTATTTGCTAAGCAGACCCAGACTTTGGGTTGTACAGGGGGAGCGCTGTTCATTCTAACCTTTGCATTACCACTTTTGCAATCAGTCCTGGTATCAGGGATCCCATTGGTGTTCCATTGATTTGTTTGAATATACGGCCATTGAAGATGAAGTGGGTTGTGAGGCACAGATCCAGCAGTTTCATGGTGCTGTCCTTGTCGACGCTGTTGGTGTTGCGGAGTGCCTGCCTTCCTGATTCCTGATAAATAAGCAGGACTTCACTGGAGTCGCATTGACCATGTTACCTAGCAGGGAGTCGAAATGTCTGCAATCAAACACACCTGCTCAGCGAGCAAGTCTACAACGTCATCCACAACCCGAGCTACATATCTTCCCAAAAACTATGACCTCACCAATGTCCTGTACAGCCGCAGCATGATATCCCAACCCTATACTCAATGTTCTGACCAATGAAGGTAAGCGTGCCAAAAGCCACCTTCATGCTGCCCACCTGTGACTCCACTTTCAATGAACCATGCACCTGTATCGCTTTCTGTTCAGCAACATTCCCTGCAGCCCTATCATTAGCTGTGCAAGTCCTGCCTTGGTTTGCCTTACCAAGACACAACATCTCACATTTATCAAAATTTCCTCAAAAAATTCAATCAAGTATGTCAGACAAGACCTCTTCCACCATGCTGAGTGTCCCTAATAAATCTATTCTTTTCCAAATGGGAGTAAATCCTGTCCAATCATCTCCAATATTTTCCCTACCACTGAGGTAAGGCTCACCAACCTATAATTTCGTGAATTATAAGTCACATCAAAAGTGCCAATTAACTGTCTCTTGAACATTCCTGGAATTCATTCATTCATTATTTTTGTTACTTTCTTGTGCTTTAAGCTAATCTGTACCTGCATATGGAAATGCTGATTTTGAGTACCTTAGGCTCAGGAGTCTATGCATATCTCCCTGAGGCTATTTGCTCAATATCTTCTACGGTTCTTCAACTCCCTTACATAGACAGTTCTCTCTTGCCATGTCTAAGGCCTCTCCAAGGTTTTCTTGTTTATGGATGTCAACCATGAGATCTGTTGCACCAACATAACTTGTATGAATCTCATTATAGCATACCTTTTCCAAACCCCCTCCTGCCAGATGACTGATACAATGTTTTTATCTTAATTCTGCCTGTCTTTAATACATTGAGTGAAATAATGCCTATTTCCAGTTTCTGGAACATGTTGAAATCTGCCAAACATTGACACCACTGTTTATGTCAGTTTTGATTATCTCATTTGTTTCATGAAGGCTGAAGGAAATTATGTGTTTCTCGGATGATTTCCAGTGCACCAGAAATCTGATTCAAAAGAGTCTCCCCCTCCAAGGACAGAACATGTCAAAACTGGGAGGTTGAACATTTGAAAGAAAAATGCTGCATATTCTGGAAAAGTGAAATGAAAACAGAAGTAGTGGAGAAATTGAGAAGCCCTGGCATCATCTATGAAGACAGAAATTCAGTTAACTTTTTGAGTCCAGTCTGACTCCTTAGAACAGTTTCACATCACAGATGCTACCAGACCCATTGGGTTTTTCTAGCACGTTCTGTTTTACTATTGTTCATGAGACATCACAGCACAATATCCCATGATTTAAACATTTATTTAGTGATCCTCAAACTAAACCATTTATACTATTTGGTTAATGCATCGTGTATTGTTCCATGGAAGCATGTGTTTTCCAAAATATATCAAAGTCTGACTATGTCTCAAAGACATTTAATACAGTATCTATCTTGTAAATCTCATCCAAGTAGGTCCAACACATGATTAGTATCTAACTTACAAGCTTCTATTAGGAAGTGACAATGTCAAGTCAAAACCTCATTCATAGAAACAAAAACAGAAATTGCTGGAAAAGCTCAGCAGGTCCAGCAGCATCTGTGGAGAGAAATCAAAGTCAACGTTTTGGGGCGAGTGCCCCTGCATCAGACTGATGGTAGCTGGGAAAATTTTGGTTTATATGCAGAAGATAGGGTGGGGGGAGGGAGTAAGGGTCATTTCACCCAAAACGTTAACTCTGATTTCTCTCCACAGGTGCTGCCAGACCTGCTGAGCTCTTCCAGCAATTTCTGCTTTTGTTTCTGATTTACAGCATCCAGAGTTTTTTTTCAGTTTTTCCTCATTCATAGAATGTGTCCCATGTCCACATTTCCACATTATTCCTCACTCGTCACATGTTTCAGAATATTAGAGGGGAACCACGCCCCTAAAATTTGCCTTTGCTCTTTAACGCTTTTCACTATGATGAACAACAAATTAGATTTTATTTTTAATTTTCTTCCCTTAATTTTCAGCCTTTAAGCAACTAGCCATTGCTGGCAGGTTCAGGAACAGCTTCTTTTGCCTTTATCAGACTGTTGAATGGACTCTAGCCTCAAATAATGTAACCTGCAAGTCCATAGGTCTTTTTGATCTGTACATCCTTTGCTTGCTATGATCTGCCTGCACCACTTGTAAACAAAACTTTTCACTGTATTTCAGCACATGTGACAATAAAATCAATCAAACAAACAATATTCTAGAAAGCCAGTGGGTGATAATTAGAACTAAAATCAATTTTTATCTTAGTTTATATTCAAGTAGTGCTTGAATCATGCATTAGTGTTAGTTTGTGATAACAAGGTGTAGAGTTGGATGAACACAGCAGGCCAAGCAGCATCAGAGGAGCAGGAAGGCTGACGTTTTGGGCCTAGACCCTTCTTCAGAAATGGGGGAGGGGAAGGGGATTCTGAAATAAATAGGGAGGGGGGGGGAGGTGGATAGAAGATGGATAGAGGAGAAGATAGGGGGAGAGGAGACAGACAGGTCAAAGAGGCGGGGATGGAGCCAGCAAAGGGGACGCTAGGTGGGGAGGTAGCGAGGAGGGGAGGAGATAGGTCCGTCCAGGGAGGACGGACAGGTAAAGGGGGCGGGATGAGGTTAGTAG